AAAAGTTAGGCTATTCCTTAAACTACAGGGCTTTGGCCCTGATAAAACTAAGGGCAGTGGCCCCACTAAGCTACAACCTGATCTAAGGACTGTGGCCCTACTAATCTAAGGACTGTGGTCCTACTAAGCTAAAGGTTAAGGCTCTGTGAAATACATGCGCTTATCAATGTTAGTATCCTCCACAGTCCCCATAAGAGTTCCAAAGCCTTCTTCTAAGGACAGGGGCCAAGGCAGTCCCTCATGCAGAGGTCTCAGGTTCTGCTGCATGGCCCTGCCCTCTCTGGCCACAGTTGATTGGAATGTCACCTGATCCAAGGGCAGGGGCACTATACACTGGCCAGAGCTTTGTGGGGTGGCCTCATGGGGACATTTGCCCAACAGGGACTACTTGAAACAATGAGTGGTTTTGTTGGGGGCCACAAAGTGGCAGAATCTCTGAGCCACTCAATTCTCCCAAAGGAAAGTCTTCCATCCACCTCCCTGGGGTGGACTAGATGGTGGTACATTCCTGGCTGAAGAATCTGGGGAGCAGGCGGGAAGGGAGCCTCCCCTCCAGGCAGGAGCCTCTCCAGGACTCCCCTCGCTTCTTCTGGTCCCTCTCGCTGCTAAGCCCTCACCTTTCACCTGCCCAGACCCTCTTTACTTTACACATGCCCACCTCTGGCAGCATCTCCTCCTTGTAATTTTTCTCTCCCTGTTCCTTGTCTTTGTGTCATTAGTGTGGAGGCTATTTGGGATGGGGTTCCTCTAAACATATGTACTTAATCTTCCACGTTTTTAACCAGAAGTTTTCATTTATCTTGCTTGGGGTTTGCACACCTTCCTGAATCTGTGCCAATCACATGCTTCTCTTTTTCTGGTGTTGAAATCCTGCACTTTACTCTGGTTGGAAGGTTTTATAGCCTGTGTTGATTGCCTGAGGCCTGGGTCAGGTGCTCGTCTATAAACCAACTGCTGTAGCAATAGGGAGGGCTGGTTGATTGCCTCAGGCCTGGGATGTTGCCCATGGTGGCTGCATGTGGGCTAAGCCTCCTCTGCCACGTGCATGGGGTTTCTTTTGAGGACTTTTCCTTTGTGGGTGGTCACGGCCATCATTTGGTAGATTGTGTTTGGTGCACCACGCAGGAGTACATCTCGTGTTTCACCCTTCCTCCCATCCTCCTTTCTGCCTTCACGTGGCAGGTACAGGTGGGTTGTGGAGTGGGGGCACCCCTGCAGGCCTGCCACCTGCCCCTCTTTCCCTGCTCAGCAGACTCTTTCCCACTTTATCTGCAGGGCAGCCCCACAACCATCTGGGTACCATCGGCAGGAAAAGCCCCAAGCCTAAATAACTACATGTCCCAATTCCAAATTCTTGCATTCATCCAGCAGGACCTCCTGTCCATCCCTACCCCCCCCCCCAGGGGGGACAGGGGGGACTATGACAAATACAGGGGCACCCCTGCAGGCCTGCCACCTGCCCCTCTTTCCCTGCTCAGCAGACTCTTTCCCACTTTATCTGCAGGGCAGCCCCACAACCATCTGGGTACCATCGGCAGGAAAAGCCCCAAGCCTAAATAACTACATGTCCCAATTCCAAATTCTTGCATTCATCCAGCAGGACCTCCTGTCCATCCCTACCCCCCCCCCAGGGGGGGACAGGTGTGACTATGACAAATACAGCTTCTGGGAAGCCCCTGCAGGGGAAGCAGTCTCAAACAAGGGCACCTATCTCGTTACTTTCTATAGCTCCCACCGGCCCCCTGTCTTCCTTGGCTGTGATCCCTTCCTGCTCAAGTATACTCTTGTCCTTTCCCCTCCCTTGTTCTGACATCCCCATTCCTGCATAGCTGGTGGCAGAACTCAAACCTTTGATGGCAGACAATGTCTGTCTTCCCTATGGCCTGGAGAGCCCAGTGGGAGCCTGAGACATCTCAGTGAGAGGTCATGGTAGTGAGCAGTGTGCCTGGCTACTGGGTCTGCTGACTACCCCGATTGATGGCATCAAGCCTATGCACACAAGGCTTAGTGACCTAATCAGGCCTTGGAGGTCTAACCACATCAGTGTCCCCTTCCCATGCCCCTTTCCCAAATGAGCTGTGGAGGCTCATGTTACATTTATTTATTTATTTTTAAAAAGATGACCGTAAGGGGATCTTAACCCTTGACTTGGTGTTGTCAACATGACGCTCTCCCAAGTGAGCTTATCGGCCATCCGTATATAGGGATCCTAACCCGCGGCCTTGGTGTTATCAGCACCACACTCTCTCAAGTGAGCCATGGGCTGGCCCTCTCATGTGACATTTAGAGTGAAAACAGCCCAGCTGCCTTGGCTGACTGGATGAAGGGGTGTGGGGGCAGGAGCTATCGTGTGGCTGGGCTCTGCACCTAGACTGGGCCTCCTGAGGGTATGTCCCTTGATCCACTTTTTCCTGGCTCCCTGGGGGTTCTGCTGTGCAGCCAGGACGGATATCTTATGTGAGTTGGGTCAGGCCAGAAGGGTGGGTGAGTGTGGGTGCCTGCCCCACCCAGCGGGGCAAACTTATAGGGCCTGGGCCATTTGTCATGGGCAGTGTTACTCCAGTCCTGTGTGCAGATGGGCTTTTCTTCTAGGGCCCAGCACTGGAGGGGGTGTGTGTTGCCTGGACTCGAGAGCCTGTGCCATCCTACTCCTGTGCATGCTGCATTCATATCCTTAGCGCCCATTACTACAATCTTTTCTATCCCCCTAATTTCAGACTTACAGAACAGTTGCAAGTACAGTGCAATGAATTCCTGAACACCTTTCATCCTGATTTCTTAAACTTGCTTTACTGTATTTGCTTTATCTTCATTCATATATATATATATATATGAACCTTTAAAAGAAAGTTGCAGACATGATTTCCCTTTACTAATAAATACCCATGTGTATTTCCTAAAAACAAAGAATTCTCAGTGATCCAAATCAATACAAAACTATGATAATGTACAGACCTTACTGATGTCCTCCTACCTTCAAATCTCCACTTACCACAGTCTGTAGGACACCTTCAACCCACCATGAGCTCTCCTCCTTTTTGTCACTAGTGATAACGATACAGATAATCATCGCTGTTGTTACTTGTTAGACATCTACAATGACTAGAGCTTGGAATATAATGTTTTATCACTCCCAGCAACATGCTATTTTCAGTTTTACAGATGGAAAAAACACAAGACTCAGAGAAGGTAATGGTTTGCTCACTTTGGTGGTTTTGTGGTGCGGCAATGCTGGGACTGAATCCAAGTTGGGTGACATCTGGGGTGATGGAGTGGAAGACGTTAGATGGACAAGCTTGGGAACTGTGAAGCCAAGTGGCCGAGTGAGGCTTCCTGGGGCAATGGAGGCTGAGCAAGGCCAGAGTGGGGCAAGGAGAGTTGCCAGGGGTGGAACAAGGCTGCAAGAGAGTTTGTTAAACATTTCGGTGTTGATATCTGAACCCCAACTCTGCATCTAACAATTTTCCTAACCTGAATCTCAGTTTCTATGTCAGTAAAGTGGTAATAATAATAATACCTTCCTCTGTTTTTGTGAGGATTAAATGAGGTAGCACCTGAAGGGTGTGTGGTGTAAGGAAAATGCCAGGACAGCTACTATTATGTGTCGACTGAACACATTTATACCTATTCCATCTAAGCACTGCCTTCCTGATCCTTTCATACAACTTTTGGTGTCAAAGGAAAAAGGATTCCAGGGATATTCATCAAAAAGAGCTCTCACCTGCCCCCTATAGGGTAACTGTATCAGTTCAGGTGGTACAGGGCTGGACTGATAGTAGTACCCTGCCACACTGTTGGTCAGAGTATTGTGCCCACATCTGTGGGTGGCTCTGCCTGGCCACTGCCAATGGCTGTTCCTGATGTTAGCACAGAAATGGAGGGGATGTGGAAAAGCCCGTTCCACCCTCTGCACTTGGAAATACCCAGGGGAGAGGGTTGGTGAGGGAAGTGCTTAGTGAGTGGGCAGGTGGTGGAAACTTCCTTCAGCCACAGAGATATTTAGAGCAGTGGTTCTCAAAATCACTGCTCCCCAGGGCACATTTGGCAATGCTGGAGACATGTTTGGTTGCCACAATGGGGAGTGGCTTGCTGCTGACATCTAGTGGGTACAAGGCCTGAGATGCTGCCTGCAATACACAGGACTTCCCCTCACCCCCAAAGAATTATCCAACCCAAAATGTCAATGGCGCCCGATTGAGAAAACTTGATTTAAAGTAATGTTTAGAGTGATACTGTTGGTTTTTCCAATATATCATCTCCTTCCCATCGTCTCAGATCTGGCTGCTTTCAGCATGCTTGTGTGATCTTACTGCCAACTTCGAAAGATCAAGGTCCTTTCATGTGTATGTGTCCTGCAAGCTCCTTTCTGATTCCATGATGCCATTTTATATACAAGAGCCAGGTAGATGTGGCACTCTCAGGGAACTGTGAATCCCTCACCCCATCCACGGACTTGCATTAGTTCAACAACTCAAGCAAAACGAGGTTTTCCACATCACCGCGCAGCAGGCTGCTCCTTGCAACGTGGAGCTCAATTTCTGCCTTCTTTTGAGGTGAAGAGAGAGCTGCTACTCCGTGAGGTCCTAAAACCGCTTAGGCTCAGCCTGCACTCCTGCAGCCTCCTGCTGAGGGATCCCATGTGACCCGTCCTACACGTGGAAGGGGCAGTCAACGATCTGCAATCGGGAGGCACCCTTCAGGAATGCGTAGTTCTGATCTACAGAACTCCTCCCAGAAAGGCAATGCTCTCTCCTGTAGGGTTGACAGAGCGCTGGCGCGGCAGTGTTGCTCTAGGTCTCACTGCCCATGAGGAAGGTATGGGCTGCTCTCATGGCCCAGACGGGAGAGTGGGAGCGACCTGGACGGCCCACCCCTGTCCAGAGTGTCCCGGAAGGGCGCGAAGCGACCCAGCGCTGCCCCGGTGGTTCGTGGACTGGCCACCACAGCCCGGCCGGGTGCTGCCTACTTCAGGCGAGCGCGGTTGGGCCAGGCTTAAGCGCATGAGCGCCGCCCGGCCCCGGCTAAGCCGTGTTTCCGGCCTCTCATTTCTACATCCGGGGCGTGATAACCCCTCTGTCAGGCTTCGGGCGGCGGCCCCTGACCGGAACCGGAAGTGAACCCCGAGCAAAGGGGCGGCGGCCGGCGGCGGCCCCGTCAGCAGCCGGCGGCTGGGAGGCGGGGCGGCG